GACCTGCTCTAGGGATGTGCTTGGGGCTCAGTGGTGCTGGGCGTCAGCTCCGGCGGGTCAGAGGGCTGGTGCTTGGGTCAGGATGGGAAGGTGTCCCACGATGGGGAGCACAGCAAGACAGTCAATGTCTTGTGCCTGGATCAGAGCTTACCATCGCTCTCTGCTCCAGGTCAAGGATGGATGTCCCTCTACTGCAGCAAAGGCTACCCCGGCAAAGGGATCACCCCACCCCTCCCTAGGTGAGAGAGGGCCTGATCCTGCAAAACGCAGAGTGCCTCCGCTCAGCTGAGCAGTCCCAGGTCCTGCTGAGCAGCGACAGTGCCCAGCCCAGCACTCTGTTGAACTCGTTTCAGCCAAGGAAGCTCCTTTCCTCTGCAGTCACTTCTCCGGCCAAACCAGCAGCCAGTCGCCGGCAACTCTCCCCTGGCTGGAGGAGGTTATTTTGGAGTGTCTGTCGCTCCTTTTATTTGCACTCTGAATTATGCACAGCACCGGTTTGGGATGGAAAGCCTGGCAGTTGCCTGCCAGACGGCTGCCGTGTGTCCCTCGGGGAGGCTGTCGGGGTAAGAGCCCATCGGCCCCACACCGCTGCAGGGACGGGCATCGCGCCGGCGGCTCTGAGCCTCCTTGTGCAGTGCCGGGAGGTGAATGCGCAGCGCTGGGACCACCGGACTGCCTTGCCGAAGTGAGGGATGCAGGGAGCAGGGCTGGCTCAGGGACCCTAGCCCAAATCCTAAATTTCCCTGGGAAAGTCCAATACGAGCCCTCAGCGACTGTCCCTGGGTGGGAAAGCCTCTCGCTGTCCATGCAGGTGCATCTTGTCTCAATTTACTCCAAGCCCAAAAGCAGTAAATAACATCTGCAAATAATTTCTAACGCTTATGCCAAAAACTGGGAGATATAAAACGCTGTCGTCTGAGCCCGGCTGTCGGTGATTAATGCCGTACCTGCCGGCAGCCTCAGCAGCAGCACCCGCCGCCCCGGGGTTTTGGGGGCAGCACTGGCCCCGGGGGTTTTGGGGTGGCAGGAGCAGGGGCCGGTCCAGCCCCGCATTGGAGCCGTGGGGTTTGGCCGACGTGAAGCTGGACGGAGGCTCGTGTTTTGGATCTGCTCTCCGGTGCGTTTTGTTTTCGGGGCTGTTTTTGCTCCCACTGAGGCGATGGCATCGCTCCTGCTGATTTCACGAGGACGGGCCGGGGCTGCGTAAGCCGCGCTGCTGCGGCCAGGGATAACACTGCGTGATTTATGGGAGCAATCAGTTGCCACTAGGAACATTTTCTATCCCAATTCCAGGCTCCCAAACCCACATTTAAGCACCTACACAGTTTCAGACTAATTTTAGGTAGCCACCAAGCTGAAAACATTTGGCCAATACATATTATGTTAATTTTGTGTCTAGAATGATGGTTTTAAAGGCCCTGGGATTATGCCTAACACTACAGCTGTGTTGATGCATGCTCACTACAAATATAGAAGGAAAAAAACCCCACACATCCAAACCCAGCTTCAACAGCTATTAAGCCATCAACCCCCCCCCCCCCCCCCCCCCCCCCCCCCCCCCCCCCCCCCCCCCCCCCGTGTAACCTCCTGCCAAACCCCAGGGCTGGTGGGAGTGCTGGGGGGACGCTGGGGCTCGCACGGACCCAGGCTGCTCTGGCATTTTCAATGTGAAATATTTTGATGCTTTTAAAACCTCTCGTGTTCAGACTTTTCCCTCCCGGTTGTTCCAAAACGGAAAGGGTTTTCTCCTGCATGTCTCGGGCTGGGATATTTTGAAATGCAGAAGTTGGGTGAACTCAAGTGCTAAATTTTCCCAGTGTCCTGGTCACAGCCAACCGATGGAAAATTGAAAGTTGCAAATCAACCTAGCTGGGTAAATTAAAACAGGCTGGCAGACATTTAGCCAAACAGAAAAGGAGACTTCATTTCCCATGTAAATTTTTTGGGACGGATTCTCTGCTCAGCTTCACACAGCCATCCCTGGGAGGACTGGGTCCAAATTACCAACACCACGGACCCGCAGCGATTCCCGCAGGGTGCTGGGAGCTGTGCAGGGATCCGTGCCCCACAGCGGGGTCGGAGCACACCCCGAGGCCCTGCAGACGGGAACTCCTGGCCCGTGGCAAATGGTGACGGGGCTGAATGTTGCCACCAAGGGCCAGGAGCAGCCGGTGGTGATGACCACGATAAACTGCAGTGATCGCCTTTGGTGCAGAGCCAGTGCCGGGGTGTGGTGCCCAGCTGGGAGCCCTGGTTTTGCCCTGTGCGGGGCACGTCTAGAGGGGAAGGAGAAAAGGCTTGAGCTGAAGCATCTCTGGTGCGACGAAGGAAATCGTTCAGGTGGGCTGCTCAAAGCTGCTGGGATGTGACCACCGCGTGTGCAGGGGGGATGTGCTAAGGAATGCGTAGGAATGTGTGTCACCATGTAGGTGAGGTGTCTCATCAACCACATTTTACACGTAAAGACCGCAGAGAACAGACCATATATATCGTATATAGGTTACATACACTGTATAACTGTGCCCTTCTTTACGCCGTAGGCTTTTCTCTCTGACACACACACACACAGATCAGATACAATACGTGCACGGCTGTCACTGAGCCAGGGGGACTGTTCTCATCCAAAATGGCTCTTCACGTGCACCAAGCCCATTTTCTGACCACCACCGTCCTCCTGCGTGGCAGAAAACTGTTTCAAGCAGCACAGCTGACGCCGAGCCTTAGCAAATGACACCAAAAGCACAGGATCACGGGGATTTGGTTTATTTTTCGGCAGAAGGTGCAATTAAAAACCTGGCAGACCGTACCCAGCCAGCGCTCCCTGCACTTCCAGAGGCGGGATGCGGCCGCACGGTGCCTGCGGAGGTACCAGGAGTATTTTGGC